TCCCACACACATATATATATATGCGAACAAGCCTGAATGGTCCCCAGGACATATGCAACTGAAAACTCACACCCCAGAAGTGACTCGAACCCATACTCCCAGAAGCAACGCATCTGGTATGTACAAGACGCCTTAATCCACTTGACCATCACGACCGGACAAAATGAGGTGATAGCCGAGGCTATTTGAACCACCCCACCGCCGGCACTCGGATAGTTATCTTGGGCATAGCATTTTACCAAATCACCTCATTCTTTGGGGCAACACGTGAGGAACACAAATGCGAACAAGCCTGAATGGTCCCCAGGACATATGCAACTGAAAACTCACACCCCAGAAGTGACTCGAACCCATACTCCCAGAAGCAACGCATCTGGTATGTACAAGACGCCTTAATCCACTTGACCATCACGACCGGACAAAATGAGGTGATAGCCGAGGCTATTTGAACCACCCCACCGCCGGCACTCGGATAGTTATCTTGGGCATAGCATTTTACCAAATCACCTCATTCTTTGGGGCAACACGTGAGGAACACAAATGCGAACAAGCCTGAATGGTCCCCAGGACATATGCAACTGAAAACTCACACCCCAGAAGTGACTCGAACCCATACTCCCAGAAGCAACGCATCTGGTATGTACAAGACGCCTTAATCCACTTGACCATCACGACCGGACAAAATGAGGTGATAGCCGAGGCTATAAGTTCGAGTCACTTCTGGGGTGTGAGTTTTCAGTTTATATATATATATATATATATATATATATATATATATATATATATATATATATATATATATATATATATATATATATTATATATATATATATATATATATATATATATATATATATATATATATATATATATATATATATATGTCGTACCTAGTAGCCAGAACTCACTTCTCAGCCTACTATTCAAGGCCCGATTTGCCTAATAAGCCAAGTTTTCCTGAATTAATATATTTACTATAATTTTTTTCTTATGAAATGATAAAGCAACCCTTTTCTCTATGTATGAGGTCAATTTTTTTTTATTGGAGTTAAAATTAACGTAGATATATGACCGAACCTAACCAACCCTACCTAACCTAACCTAACCTATATTTATAGGTAAGGTTAGGTTAGGTAGCCAAAAAAAGCTAGGTTAGGTTAGGTTAGGTAGGTTAGGTAGACGAAAAAATATTAATTCATGAAAACTTGGCTTATTAGGCAAATCGGGCCTTGAATAGTAGGCTGAGAAGTGCGTTCTGGCTATTAGGTACGACATATATATATATATATATATATATATATATATATATATATATATATATTATACACACACACACACACCACACACATGAAAATGGGAAATAGATTCACGGAAGATGAAAAGGAAATGTGTGAAACACTAAACGAAAAGTTCCAAAGTGTGTTTGTACAAAATGAAATCTTTAGGGAACCAGATACAATAAGAATTCCAGAGAACAACATAGAACACATAGAGGTGTCTAGAGACGAAGTGGAAAAAATGCTCAAGGAGCTCGGTAAGAACAAAGCAGCTGGCCCAGATGGCGTTTCACCATGGGTTCTGAGAGAATGTGCATCTGAGCTCAGCATTCCACTTCACCTGATCTTTCAGGCATCCCTGTGTACAGGAATCGTAGCAGACGGGTGGAAACAGGCTAACATAGTTCCAATCTACAAAAGTGGCAGCAGGGAAGACCCCCTCAATTATAGACCTGTATCATTGACAAGTGTAATAGTGAAAGTATTGGAAAAACTAATCAAAACTAAATGGGTAGAACACCTAGAGAGAAATGATATAATATCAGACAGACAGTATGGTTTTCGATCTGGAAGATCCTGTGTATCGAATTTACTCAGTTTCTATGATCGAGCCACAGAGATATTACAGGAAAGAGATGGTTGGGTTGACTGCATCTATCTGGACCTAAAAAAGGCTTTCGACAGAGTTCCACATAAGAGGTTGTTCTGGAAACTGGAAAATATTGGAGGGGTGACAGGTAAGCTTCTATCATGGATGAAAAATTTTCTGACTGATAGAAAAATGAGGGCAGTAATCAGAGGCAATGTATCAGAATGGAGAAATGTCACAAGTGGAGTACCACAGGGTTCAGTTCTTGCACCAGTGATGTTCATTGTGTACATAAATGATCTACCAGTTGGTATACAGAATTATATGAACATGTTTGCTGATGATGCTAAGATAATAGGAAGGATAAGAAATTTAGATGACTGTCATGCCCTTCAAGATGACCTGGACAAAATAAGTATATGGAGCACCACTTGGCAAATGGAATTTAATGTTAATAAATGTCATGTTATGGAATGTGGAATAGGAGAACATAGACCCCACACAACCTATATATTATGTGAGAAATCTTTAAAGAATTCTGATAAAGAAAGAGATCTAGGAGTGGTTCTAGATAGAAAACTATCACCTGAGGACCACATAAAGAATATTGTGCAAGGAGCCTATGCTATGCTTTCTAACTTCAGAATTGCATTTAAATACATGGATGGCGATATACTAAAGAAATTGTTCATGACTTTTGTTAGGCCAAAGCTAGAATATGCAGCTGTTGTGTGGTGCCCATATCTTAAGAAGCACATCAACAAACTGGAAAAGGTGCAAAGACATGCTACTAAGTGGCTCCCAGAACTGAAGGGCAAGAGCTACGAGGAGAGGTTAGAAGCATTAAATATGCCAAAACTAGAAGACAGAAGAAAAAGAGGTGATATGATCACTACATACAAAATAGTTACAGGAATTGATAAAATCGACAGGGAAGACTTCCTGAGACCTGGAATTTCAAGAACAAGAGGTCATAGATTTAAACTAGCTAAACACAGATGCCGAAGAAATATAAGAAAATTCACCTTCGCAAATAGAGTGGTAGACGGTTGGAACAAGTTAAGTGAGAAGGTGGTGGAGGCCAAGACCGTCAGTAGTTTCAAAGCGTTATATGACAAAGAGTGCTGGGAAGACGGGACACCACGAGCGTAGCTCTCATCCTGTAACTACACTTAGGTAATTACACTTAGGTAATTACACACACACACACACACACACACACACACACACACACACACACACACACACACACACACACACACACACACACACACACACACACACACACACACTCTCTCACTCTCTCTCTCTCTCTCTCTCTCTCTCTCTCTCTCTCTCTCTCTCTCTCTCTCTCTCTCTCTCTCTCTCTCTCTCTCTCTCTCTCTCTCTCCCCCCCCCCCCCCATATAAGTATTTCCCAAAAGAAATAATGTAAATTTAATTAATCTGTTCCACAACCCCTACAATACATTTTATATTGAATACCATTCTTTTTGTACTAACTATAATACAGTATGTATATCTTACCTTTATTGAGGACTTGTTGGCGTATGAAGACGGTAAGGAGGGGAGAGGGAAAGAAGGAGAGGTGTAGAGGTGTTACTGTTTGAGAGGAGAATCCCCTTCCATTATAACATCAGGCAGTAATGACTTCTCTGGGGTACTCTTTCTCCCACGTTTTGCAGGCATACCACTAGAACCTGGTTGTAGCTCACTGCATGCTTTTCTTACTAAAAATCTGTCTAAAGACCCTTGTTTTCCCTACATTTTAACACTTGTCTGTAGTGATCGATCACATTGTCATTTAGAAGGTCAATGCAACGGCCTGCTACATCTTTATCTGGGCGAGTTTATTCAACAAAACTTTGCAGTTCTTCCCATACTTCACACATTTTCTTAATGAGGAAGAGACATCCTCTACTACCTCTACTCTCAATTATTTTCTTAGGTTGAACCTTACCACTGACTTTCTTGGGACCCATGGCATGATATATAATAATTACTTTTATGTTCAAAAAACAAAAAAAGCACAAAAACAATGAAATTCTTTATAAAGAATTCAAGCACGACCGTCACTAAGCAGGCGGCTCTGGTAAACTGAGGCGGGGTCGCCTGTGCCACCAGGAACCAAGTGCTCGGTCAACCCATACATATGTCAACAAAGTCGCTAGTCGAGGTAAAGGTCGTAGGTCAAGTCAAATTTTCTGACGAAATTAGGGTCGTAACTCGAAAAATTTGTAAGTACATAGGGGCATTTGTAAGTCAAGGTTCCACTGTATAGTGTTATAAATTTAAACTAATTTCAACACAAGTGCATAAAACACAAGGTTAATACTAATGCATAATTGGCTTCAAGGAGTAACATTCCTTAACAGCATCCAACATAAGATGTGGCCTAGGGGCCTGACAGCTGAGTGGACAGCGCTTCGGATTCGTAGTCCTGAGGTTCCGGGTTTGATCCCCGGTGGGGTCGGAAACAAATGAGCAGAGTTTCTTTCACCCTGATGCTCCTGTTACCTAGCAGTAAATAGGTACCTGGGAGTTAGACAGCTGCTACGGGCTGCTTTCTGGGGGGGTGTAACAAAAAGGAGGCCTGGTCGAGGGCCGGGCCGCGGGGACGCTAAGCCCCAAAATCATCTCAAGATAGGAGCCTTAAGGATCATAAGATCTGGTCAAACACAATGGTATACAAAATTAAATTCAGATGATTACTATAGATAGTTCATCATTTTACATGGTATTAAAAATGTATTGAAATGCGGTATCAAGATTTTTGCAGACATAACACTTCATGTTCAAGTGAATTCGGAAAATGATGAATTACCAAAAGCTAGTTTTAAGATGTCATATGAACACTGTTACTGTAAGTTAGAGAGATCTTTGGTAATTTTATCATCTAGAAAAGTAAATAACAGGTTATGTATACATTTCATAGAAACAAAATGAAGGGGTGGCTCTTAAGTACAATATACAATGCATTAAATTTTAAATCATTGCTATTAGATATTATTTAATCCAAAATTTGCTGCTTTTCAGTACAGTATAAAAAAAAATATTGTGTCAAAATTATGCTTCAACAAGTTATAAAAAAGCATGGTAATACAAAAGGAACAAAATTAAAAAAAAACCAGCCTCTTCCCGTATTTCTGTCAAACTTTATTGTTTCTTGAACACAAAGAACTTGCACATACAACTGCATGAAGGTTAGGACTGAACAGAATACAAATATGTCAGCAGAATTTGCCGCAGAAGTAAGGAAGAAGCTCCAGGATTGTCAATACTCTTAGGGACGTCATCAATCACTTGAAACAAGTTGGTTATTCTCTGAAGTATAAAGCCAAATGCGATACAGGAAGCTCCTGGGGCCTATGTTCCCTATGCAGGCTAGCTAGGTAGTTCTCTGCCACAGTTGGATCCAAGATGCCCAGCACAGCCTATGGCCTACAGTGATGTTCCAACATTTCTGTCACTGAGATCGATTACACCCCCCCCATGTAGCTGGTAATATATCAGCCCCAACATACAAGGCAATTAGTACCATCATTCATGCTGGTTTTATAACCCTTTCTATAACTGGCATCAAACTAACCATTAGCTGGCCTCCAACTGCCTGCGACTGGAGGGAGGGGTAATAGATATGACTAGGAAAAAGCTACAATTTACAGCTGTTGCATTGGGAGTCAATACGAATCATGTCAAGCTGTCAGCCTGAGCAAAGCCGTAGGACATTTGAGGTCGATATGCATCATGTCAACCTGTCACCTTGAATAGAATCATAGGACACTGGGGATCACTACAAGTCTAATCAATCTGTCAGCTTGAGCAGCCATATGACATCTGGGAGTCATTACGACTCATGTCAACCTGTTAGCTTGAGCAGTCATAGGACACTTGGGGTCACTAAGAGTCATGTCAATCTGTCAGCTTGAGAATAGTCATAGGACACTGGGGGGGTCGCTACAAGTCGTGTCAACCTGTCAGCTTGAGTAGAGTCATAGGACATTTTCTAATGCAAATAGAATAACTGTTACAATATGAAGCTTGAAAAAATTATAATTATTTACCTGCAATTACTCAGGTTGGCAGAATTGACATAGTAATGGACTTAAAAATTGGTGTGATCTCAACTAAATCCCAAATTATAGCAGTATGATATAAACAAAATCACTATAAAATTCATATTTAAAACATTGAGTATTAGCAAGGAAAGCCCGACAGTCTTCCTGTTGTCTCTAAATTCATCATACATTCAAGTAAAGAAAATGAAAGTACGGGACAGAGTTACAATATTGAAAAAGATCTGTGTTTAAGAAAATGCCTGCAGAATCATATATACAAAAAAAAGTTGATACATAGGATCTTAGGGGGCAGAGCCAGGGATAATAAGTGTTACCAGTGACTTTGGAATTGAATATCTAATTTTCTTAAATCTAAACCCCCAAGTTCCCTTGCTTCACTGACACTATGATGCACACATTGGCACCTCCGTTTCATCAGCAAACTAAAAACAAATCACATTCCATGTTCGAACAATTAATGAGTTCAAAATTGGAGATCTCATACCTTACCAACTAAAAATATAAAATATTTCTTGACTATTTTACAAACTTTATACAACATTATAGTACACAACATATGCTCTTCTAGCAATGCATCGGCTCAATAAATAAAAATGATATAAAACAATTACGCTACGCTGTCCTCCGTGCTCAAGGCATTTGCAGATTTCTTTGTGACTTTCAAGTGGTAAACTAAAGAGAAAGACTGAAAGTCGACTCCAACAGTCTCTTGTCTCACATCTTTCAGCACACACAAAAAAAAAAATTTTTTTTTTATTCTTCCTTCTCAAAAGTTTACACCAAGGTTGCGAAGAGTATGTATGTGTATTGGATATAACTGTCTAGCTGCATATAGCATACACAGCATTTCCATTGTAGTTTCCCACCACTATGGGAAGTTGCCGGAGAAAATACCGTTGATTATGATAGTAATGGTAATAGAAGACACACAAAGTAATTGTGAGACTACATCAGTAAGAAAATAAGACACGTCTCTTGAGGTCTGTCAGGGCATTTGCCACAAAGCAAAACAACAGCTGTGATAGCATTTGGACTTACCAAGGGGAAGGCTTGAACTGCCAACAGTGACCTAGCCTCTTTTTTTTTTTTTAACCAAACACACCTTGCCATGACATAAAATAACATCTTTGCACCCAAGGAAAATTAGCTGTGCTCCACAAATATATAATGTAGAAATATCAGTCAAACTTTCAACAGCACACTAAAAAACTTTATCCTCCTGTTTGGCAACCTTCCTCCAAAAAGCCCTAATGCTTCCACTACGCTGCCCTGGACGATTGCTTGATTCTCGGAACTGTCAATGAGGCAGTGAAAGTGGTCGCCCTGAGGCTTCATCAGAAAAAAATATTCCCTGTAACAAAAGGACTAAAAGCAAATAACTACACATACTCTTGACGAAAAATGCAGCAACTTAAATTTGCAAATCGAAGACCACTTTTTGAAAGCTACTTGAAATGATCGGCTAAAACTTTATGCAAGCTGAATTACATCTTAATAGGAACAATTCTAGTGGCAAACACCCTGACAAGGAACCGTAACTGAGAGGGTGTGGAATGTGAAGACCAGTGGCCCACTCTGGCACAAGGGGTTGTGGACCACTTTGCCACATTATCTCCCTCCCCTTTCCAAAATGCAAGAATCCAAAATTATCACACACGGAACTTCCCTAGGAATACTCACTCCTTCCTTCCTCCTTCTTTGGGACTTACATTCTAAGTTTTTTTTTCTGCTAGTATTATTATGAAGGTGACGTATGAAAATACCTACCTACACAGTCACGGATGTTTTTTTGATTGCTACTCATCATTTTGTAGTGACACAACACAGCAAGTTACACATTTGTTATGTCAGTGAGTTGTATTGCTTGGTGCTTTTGTAGAAACTCCTATGCTAAATAAGATCTACAAAATTTTGATTATCTAGTCATCACACATGTTCCCAAAAACACAGGTGTTTGCTAACATTACAAAGGATACACAAACATGCACTTGGTACTCACAAATTATTTGATTACTCATAAATAAATGGTTTTGGAATGAAAGTTGTAATGTGTGGTTACACCAACAGATACAACATTTTGACTAAACCAAGCTACAATGTGGGTTGCATCATACTGAACACATCAGTACACAAAAACGCTAATGAATTGAAGTAAAAATTACAGTAAACCTGTGCAAGAAGGGTACTGTGCAGGACACCGTGGGATGACTGGACACACATTGAAAGGGTAGTTGGACACTCTTGCTGTGTTAGTGAATGGAAGAGTGTGTGTAGCTTTATAGCTTATGAACATGTGCTACTGAAAATTTCACTGTACTGCAGTGAAACATCTTAACCATTATTTTCAGCAAAAAACTTTAATTCACTGTAATTGCAATCAAAATTATACTTCTCCACAATCATCATCAAATTTACCAACACCCAGCCATTTACCAGCACTGCATTATCTGACTTAGGTAACAACGGGGTAGTTTAACTACAGCAGTTGGGTCCTGCGGGAGGGAGGGAGGAAAGGGAGTGGGGAATGGCCGGATGTTCACATGATGGGATAAGTGATATGTGCGTCAGGAGGGAGGTTCTCACTTCTCTTGGCATTTTTCCAGTCTGCAATGTCTTTAAGTCCTCCAAGGATTGAAAGAATCCCCCTAATAAGCCGCTTTTGAAGTTAAGCTTTTTTTTTTTTTTGCACAGAGCTCTTATTTTGCTGACCTGTGTTCACCCAGTATTTTCAGATTTATCCAGTTAGTGTGCATGAGCAATTTTAATACACACTACACTGCAATTCACCACAGACAGGCAACTTATAATCTCCCAGTAGATAGAGACGCTGGCAGAAGCTTAAACAGGAAACAGTCTTTGAGAGTTCATCAAAGGGTAGAAAGGACAACACCAATACTAGACTTTGGCAGAATAAGGTCTGGCAGCAAATGGAATATCAACAATTACACTAAGGATCAAATCTGAGGAGTGGTGTATAACGCACGGAAGTGACAGGCAAGCTTACCAACCCTCCACAGAAATGAATGTGGAAGCTGATCACAGCTGTTTGTTCCATCTCCAGACCATACACATGTGCACCACAGTTCTGTCTCCAACACACCATTGGCCATGAAAATATCACAAGAAGGAGAGGGTGGGGGCACTTCCAAATATTTTAAACAGTCATTTGCTGCTCAGAATCACATTTTCCATTACTTGGTACTATAGGATAACAGGGTATTCTTGAGCTACTTTGGAAAATCTTGTCTTTGTGATGGACAATTTTCACATTATTGCAATTAAATAACATAAAAAATACACTCGATACCCTGTCCTGAACACAAGTCTTTATTAGTGTCTTTCCCTCTTTCATTATCACATTTTCACATAGACGATGATGGCCTTCAGGTCCAACTTGACGCACCAGTGGACATCACATTCATTCTGGACCTGGACATTAGCCCACCTGACTACTTTACCCTAACACGGTACCAAGTATTGGTATTAGCTAGAGTAGTGGCACTATACTAGGAAGCCCTCAGACATGTTGACGGCCAACTGCGTGCGCAAGGTGTGTATACTCTGGAGAAGCTTCTTCTGGTGGCCAGCTAGTGTGATACCAAATCGAGTTAGGTCGTGTTGAGTGAGGCGAGCCACTTCCTCTAAATCAGTGAGGCCTGTCCGTTGGAAGTTTTCCACATAACGACTCATCTTCAAGGAAGCAAGCCAGTCCTCCACAGAGGTCAGCTGGGTCATGTCGACCGAGTCTAGACCCAGGGCCGTTGTACACCTGTGGAAAAACAAATTAGTTAAACTGTTTTATCGAAAATAATTATGAGTAATATAAAATCAGAAATTACAGAGAGTTACCAGTATAAAAATATGCAAATAAAAACTGAAACCTTACCATAAACAGGATAACAATTACCACTTTAATGCAATTACCAAGGAATAACTAAAGATATAGATGAGCATCCTGCCTGTGATAATCTGTGAGTCAGTGTAGACAAGAGCAGTTGGCCAGACTACCCTACAGCTCCACTGCCAACATCAGAAAGCACAGGCAGCAAAGGAGGAAAGATCAGATCATGCCAAGATACTATATTTGGATGCAAAAAAGCAAAGGATGATGAAGTGCCGTGCAGTGAGAGCATAGACATGATAGTATAGCATCTACATACACCCTGATCAGTTGTAATAAGAGGTTAGAATGGTAACTCAGAGAATCACTTCCCAAGTGTATGCCATACACTACAATCCTGAATGCAATGCTCTGGTGTCACAGGTTATACGAATTACATATTAAGCTCTGATGTCTGCCATGACACCTCAATTTATTACCTTAAACCTCCACCAGGTGACAGGCATGTCAGGCATGACGGCGTTATTTAGGCTGCCTGGTTAAAGTTGACCCACTGGGGTCGGATGAGGACGGGTGCATAGTAGGGGTTTTGGGGGGCCGGCCGCCTGGGGAGAGATCATAGGAGACACCACTGTCAGCCACACTACCACACCAGGCCAGGAGGAACAGGGAGTGGAGCATGATTGAGGAAATGGATTGGGACCATTATGAATAACAAGGACTGGATGTGAAGAAGCATAGTAAACAAGAGGAGTCAGAGTAAAGGTTGAACAAAGTGGATAAATAATAAAAAATAAAAAAATTAATATGAGGAATAAAAGATAGAAAATTTGTCATTAGGAACAAAAATGAGTTTTAGTTAGAAAGCTTATAGCAGAAGTAATAAAAGTCTAAGAAAAAATGTAAACCTATGTTACAAGAAAATTAAGAATTATGACAATAGAATATGTATGATATTTAAAACATTTAATCAAAGTTATTTTACTTGATAAATGTAAGGAAATATGGGTAAGAAAATTATAAAGAAAACTCTTAATAGAGTTTGAGAAGTATTATATTGTACTGTATATGTTTTGAAAGTACTGTACAGGAAATGGTTAAATGTGTGACCAATTAACCAAGAAATTAATGCCTACTGGTTTATATTAAAAGAGAAGAGGTAATAAAATGAATTAAGTTGATGAAGATAGGCAGCAATAATGAACATGAGTGTCTAGCCCAAAAGCATCAAATAAATTAAAAGAATAATTCAAAGACAAATGTGAGGTAATTTAATAATTAACAAAATAATAATACTATTTCTCATAGGCATTGCGGTGAGAACCACGAGAGATTTAGCAAGTGTTTAACAACCCAACCCTCGCATGAAAAGAAACGAGCAGCGATGTTTCGATCGGTCCGAGACCCACATGCGGGATGGGTGATTTGTTTCATCCATGTTAGTGTGACTTATTATCTGGAGTTTACTCTAATATTGATCTCCAAACTTTCCTATGGTAATACTCTGTATTTGGTCTCACTTGCCTCCCAAGTGTTCCTAAATATGCAATTCCTGTTTAATCATTTCTTCTAGACGGGGCAGATTTTCCTTATATTTTACACTTTTATGTTGCTGTTCATAGAGCTCTGGCCATCTGCTTAGGCCATAAAAAAAAAAAAAAATGCATACAATTTCCATGCTCATTTTATTGCTACTATAACCCTAAATCCCCCACCACACTAAAAGAAATAAATGTTCAGCTTTCACCTGTACAAATGTAATAGTTTATAACCCTAAATCCCCCACCACACTAAAAGAAATAAATGTTCAGCTTTCACCTGTACAAATGTAATAGTTTAAACATCAGTGAAAAATGCACTATAGATGATGTACAAGTTACTTGATCAAATAGGTTCAAGCAGGGGTTCCCAATTATTATCCTATTTTTCACAACATTCACCCATTAAAAAGGTTAACTAGAATTTTTATAACCAAAGGCAAGCTTGTGCTGAGAGGTAATTCACTGGAGCGTATGTTTAAATGGCAACTCATGCTTATATGTTACAATTATTGAAATATATATGTAACAAAAAAAATCCTACCATCCATTAACCCAGGGAAACATCCTAATTTACCCAAGGTTGAGCACTCATAGTGTTAAAGCAAACTAGTGAATGGACAGCCATATGGATAGCTTCCTTGAGGTTAGAAAACCCTAAAGAAAACACTAGTTCCCTATTCCCAAATAATTCTAAGCTTTTTTTTAGCTTGATAAAGTTCAGTTCCAGGAAAATGACAAACTATATATAAAACAAGTAAAACTGGTAAATTAGTTGTAAAAGCTTACATATTGAAAGAGTTCGATAATACACATTCCAGTAATGTGAATCTTTGGGTAATCCGAGTAAATTTGAGTTTGAGTTTTTTGACTGATCAACTTTAATAAAAATCTGGATTAGTGAGATTTCTGCCAAACAAAAATCCTTATTAATTAAAGTTTTTGACTATCAATCTGAACAAAAACTTGGGTTTCTGATATTTCTGCTGAATGAAAACAAAAATAAATTCAAGTTTTTTTAACTTTTTGACATTCCCAGTAAAAAGTTTGGCTCACTCAAATGGAGTAGATCACACATAAGTCAGAATATTGAGCATAGGCATTATATTTTGTTATAAAATCTGCTTAGGAAATGGATGAGTGAACAGAATGTGCTGCAACAGCACTATTTGTGAGGGATGGTTATCTTGAGTTTATCTTGAGATGATTTCGGGACTTTAGTATCCCCGCGGCCCGGTCCTCGACCAGGCCTCCACCCCCCCCAGGAAGCAACCCGTGACAGCTGACCGACTCCCAGGTACCTATTTACTGCTAGGTAACAGGATGTGGATGTGATTAGTTTCCCTTTCTTCCTTGTCAACATCTTACCCAGAGTATTAGTGATGAATATGAATATTTTATAAGCTTTGGTGCACTTAATCAACTTCACTTATGTTTCAGAATGGGGGGGTTTATCTCGGATATATGACCTGGTTTTGTAGTTTTTCTTATTTTCCCAGCTGAGACTGGGCACAGGATACTATGGTAAACATAGGCATTTGACTGTTGCTCTGCATTTTCATCCTTTTGTTTAAAAACGATAATTCCTATGGAACTATGGACGTTCCTATGGAACTATGAATTATAGTTCCATAGTTTCTATGGAACTATGGAACTATTTTTGAACACAGTTCCTATGGACTGTGCCCAAAAATAGATCCACAATTTGTACAATTGATTTTGCAGTGCACTTGAGAATTAAGACAACAGCTAAACCTAACCTTACCTAGGAATAGCATAGTACATGTATATGCTAAGTTAGGACAAAAACTGCATATATATTAGGCTTAGGATTGATTATTTAGACTTAGGCCTGGTTGGGTTAGGTTTTTGGTAAGGCTGTCGTCATTTTTGTGCCAGTTGTGGCTGGATTGAATAGCCATAAATTCTAGCTTACAATCAGGGCAATAAGACTATACTGGCAAAACGTTTTGCATAAAATTAGAATAATGAGGATGTAATTTGAAGGATAACCTACAAACTAATTATACCATAAAGTTACAGAAATTTACAGCCTTAACATTTTACATCAACAAATGTAGGCACTAAACTGCATAAAATCACTGAACACACAGATTGTGTAACTTCTGAATTCTTTTATGGTTAAAAATGCTCGTCAATAAGCTGTCTCTTTGTGATACAGTAACTAATAATTCCAAGTATCTAGTTGTTTTATTTTAGTACGTAGACCTGCTACAGCATTAAATAGATCACACATTCCTCAGTTGTATTTCCTAACAGTCAAGTTTATATTTCCACAAAAAATTTGAGTGGCTAGTGAAAAGCAAATGTTGAAAAGTTGATTGAATTTGCTGGATGGGAGAGTCCTTTCACACAAAATGCAATGAACATTTCCTCCATTCACAATTCAGCTTACCAAGGTCTGTATTTCACTGCTCCAATAGTTCACATCCACACAAGCTGTGACATAGACTTAAATAACTTTAATTTCAAACAATAATATGATGACCAAATTCATTCATAATGATATTTGTTCCAACTTTCAGATGTTTGATAGCAACAAAAATATTGAGAAGTGGGCCCTTTAAGGATATAATATGCCTCAGATGCTTTTTGGAATACAGAACAGTACTGAAACCTCTGCCTATACCAGTTTGATACAGCATTAGTACATAATGTAAATTTTGGGGGGTTTGCAAAAGTTCATATTTGGTACATTCCATCCACAGATACCTGAAGCGGGTTCAGGGAGTTCTACTCCCCGAGCCTGGCCTGAGGCCAGGCTCGACTTGTGACACTATAGATACTATAGATAGACAGATGTGCTATACTATAGGTACCATAAATTGATGCTATAGGTACTATTATTTTTGGAGGATGGTTTGTTTATTTGGCACTAGGCCTATTTACTCTGTATATACTCATCCATTGCCAGTAACTGATATTAACATTCATCAATCACCAATAAATAGGATCCTTAATTTGCAATGTGTTCTTATACTTTTCAATAATTCAAAATTATAATTTGCCACTTAGTTTATCCAACTGATAGTCTACCCTATCAATATAAAAGTAATAAGAAATGTAAGGCTAAAAATTATAAATTAAATGAATAACAGGTATATACTACAGTATATAAAATATCCAGTACAAATATAAAAATGAGATTATTGTTAATTTGACTAAGTCGAGACTGCTGCAGACGGTAGAGTAACCAAGAGAAATCAAAACCGAACCACGAACTAAAGACACTGAAAAATTATACAAATTTCTATGTATACTGAAGAGGTTTTCTTAAAAAGTCAATGAAATAGTAATGAGCTAACTTGTAATTATTGGAAAATGATGTAATAATGAGACAACTAGGAATTGTTAAATGAAACAACTTGATAGCTGCCAAAACAAAAATCTATATCTATAATATATATATAGAAGAGTTGTATGAGAATGACGAGAATTGTGAACATCGAGAAGGCATGTACAGGAGCAAAATATAAAAAATTATATAGGTAGAAAAACGTTAGTTGACAAAGCAATCAGAACTGTAGTGAGAACCAGACAATTGAAATTACACAGAGCAAAACAATAATAAGCACAACAAATATTTGCCATTAAAACACAACACTGTACTGCAGCCTTATTGTCGTGAGATGTGCGCCATGTGCTCGAGTCAGCCATATATATATTCACTTCATAAAAACATGCCTGCCTGCTCTGTCACCATGACATAATAATAGAAAATCAAATTAGTCATGTTTGGCCTTCACAAATCCATGAGGACGTTCTTGAACTTCCAGATCAAATTAAAGAAACGAAGATACGAAGCAGCGGAATGAGATACAGTACTCTAGTACAAGTTAATTCTAAACCATCACCAACAAATAATAAAAACCATTTAAATTCTAAAAGATTTTACAGCGAAGAGCTTTACAGTGTGCTGAAAGTTGCTACTACACAATACAGTTCTGAATTGCCAGCAGTCCACCACGGCAGCCAATCAGCGCAATGACACATTGCCATGCTAATACCAGCTGACAGGCAGAAATGCTCTTTTTACACTGATCTGCATATGGTCACCATTTATCAGACATGTGATTGGTTCAATTAGTTGAGTAATGTCAGTACTTTTATTATTTTAAAGTATTTTTTTAGAAAGATGCAAAGGAGGGCATTATAAGAAATTAAAATTTAACAGATTAGCAAAAGAAATGAAGAGGCTAGAATTCAAATGAACATCAAACTTGTATAACAGACATGCATTTGAGGGCAAATTTAGAGATAACCAACATTCTGTACTTTTTGTTTATTATTATTACAATTTTTAAACAGAGAAATCACGTTATCGTGATATATCAATGAGAAAATTCACAGGAGTCATGATAAGGATTCGAACCTATGTCCTGGGTGTTCCTAGATGCACGCTGTAAACGACTACGCCACCACATGGTCAAAAGTACTGCAACCTTAGTGTACTTTTTATTACTCCGAACCAGGGTTTCACACAATTTTCCTGTGCACTCTAGCTCTGTCGTCCAGTAATTCTACCTCTGACGCCCCACTTTCAATATGTGTATTGATGGTGCCCCTCTTTTCAATACGTATATTGTCAGAGGTAGAAATACTGGACGACAAAGCCAGAGTGCATGGGGGAAATTGTGCAAAACCCTGGTTCGACTTCAGTGGAAGTCTCGGGAGTCCTAGTGAGTGCAGTAGTACCCCAAGTTGCAATTCTTTTGCAACCTGGGGTACTACTATGACTATGCCATGTCATGGCATAGTCGTTTAGAGCGTGCATCTGGGAAGACCCAGCACATAGGTTCGAATCCTCATCACAGCTCCTGTGATTATTATTATTATTATTATTATTATTATTATTATTTTTATTATTATTATTATTATTATTATTATTATCATTTATTATCATCATCATCATTACAATTTTTGTTATTTATTGGAGCAAAAGTACTTCCTCTACCCAATGTATTTGGATATAAATAAGCTTGAAAGGTTAACAAGATAAACAGATAAGACAGACGTTAATTTTTGAACCAATCTCAGTGCCCTAAACTGTCATGTATTGGCTTTCCATATAGAGTACAACCTACATCAGTAACACCAGGGATCTACCAACTAGTGGGAAAACTTTTGACTCTTGAGAAATATTATTTATTCTCAAAAAAGTATTTTTAACTCTAGTCTTGACATCAAATTCAAATTAACCCATTAGTAGTTAAGCCCTGATCCTGTTTTAAGCTCGCATTCAAAGCCACATGTAGCAAAGGAGGTTTTGTTTACAGTACCTGTTCTGAGCCACTTTGTTGAGAGCCTCCGGAGTACGAATCAATCTGTCTAGAGTCCGCACAATGGAGGCAAAATTGGGACGATGGTTGCGCTCCTTCTGCCAGCAGTCTAACATAAGCTGGTAAATGGCCTCTGGACACTCCATGGGTGCCGGCAAACGATAACCCTGCGGAAAGAGTTTAAAATTAATGATTAAGCATTTGCAAAAACAATCAGATTATTAAATGATATCTATAGCACTTGTAAAGGCATTCTATACTCTTAAATTATTTCAGTTAGTAAATTAGTCAATTTATGCCATTTCATAATGCATCTCTGATTTTTCTTCACTAACAATAAAAGGCAATCAGAAGAATGGAGTTATATTTTTCTTTCAATTCTAGGGGGTTAAATAATATATACAGGATTTCTTAATTTTGCTCAAGATACTGACTAATTTTGTAATTTTGTATCTTATGTATATGGGAGTAGACTGCAATCCAAAAAACCATGGATGTATGAAGGAAAAGGTTGCGACATGAATAAGCAAGAATATGCAGAACTACTGTACATCCGTGGTTCTCGACCTTTTACTTCTTCCAAACTCTTTCAACGTTGGTTATCTATTACCCAACTCAAGAGCGTGGTTGACTTTAGTTCTGCGCACTGCGAGAGGATCTGCTGCAGAATATCCTTATTCTGGACTGCCCTGTTCCAAGGCTAAATTGTTGTACTGTATATTGTTTACTGTGTGGCCAAGCTTAGCTGACCTGCTTTCTATCCTACAGTCCATAATGTCAGGAAGTATGCTGTGCTCACAGTATTCATCCTGAGTATGTCTGCGACCAGTGTCAAAACCCAAGATGCTTGGTTACCTTGTGATGATTTCGGGGGTTAGCGTCCCCGTGGCCTGGTCCTCGACCAGGCCTCCTTGTAGCTGGACTGGTCAACCAGGCTGTTGGACGGGGCTGCTCGCAGCCTGATTGATTTGGTGCTCAAATCAGGTGTTAAAGTATATATAAAAAAAAAATATCTTCCAGCTCTTAATGAACAGTGTGTTGTACTGTACTAGATTTTCTCATCTTATAGGCGTGTGTTCTTGCTTCTCCTGGGTTCAGGACTCAGGACTCCATCTGCCATGGGTACAACATGTCTCTCACTTTCATGTTATTGCTTTATTTTGTTTATGACCATTATATTAGTGCTGTCATGATTCTATAGGCTTTTACTTCATTTGAGGTGCTGTGGGAAAGTAAAACTACCAAGAAGTGTAATCGGAAAAAGAGCATATTACAGTATAATTAAATTCTGGTCACTGCCACAATGGCTGACCATCCTCTCACTTCTTACCCACTGCAGTAGGGGCTGTAACCTGCTGGTGGGATTGGCATTGGGACGGTTTGTTCAATAGCTTTTTGAGTTTGGTTTTGGTTAATTTGGCACTTTTCAAAAACATTTCTCTAGGGAAGCATGTGTGTCATGTAGGCTCTAGCAACATGGCTCTAGCAATGTTACCTTGCCCTGTTTATTTGTAAGGGAGCACATGGGGGATCAGAGATCAACCACATATCAAAGCAAAATATCCTAAAAACAATGAAGCATAATGATGTCTTAACAATTTTTTCACTTTTTTAGGATATTTTGCTTCGATATGTGGTTGATCTCTGATCCCCCATGTGCTCCCTTACAAATAAACAGGGCAAGGCAACATTGCTAGAGCCATGTTGCTAGATTGCTTGAGGTATGTTGCTAGAGCCTCTGCCTACCACGGGACCTTGGTAGGCAGATACTGTACCTGGCATTGGCTAGTCTGTCCAATTGGACAACCTACCAGGGAACTATGTAGGCCTAGTCTCCCTTCTACCTCATATCTCTTCTGCCCACCTTGTGAACTATGGATAAAATAACTATATTCAAAATTGTGATAATCTGCACAGTTACTCAAACCTTCGAGTGAAGTATGTCAGGTGTTCAAGAATCATGTGTCAGAGTAACGTTATTCATTTGTTCAGCTGTTTAATGTTACTTGGAGACATTATGTTGTAGTTCTATGATCTCTTATATACAAGTGTTTGCAAATGATTGTGCGACTGTACAGTAAAAAGATAAAAATATGTACATAAAAATAAGTACCCTTTAATTTCCACACCCGCTGCAGTAGAATGCTGCTGCTTTTTCAAAAACTTTTTAACACTTTCCTGTCCCCACTGCGTGCTCCCTAGACTGCCTCAAGGTGCACCGAGCGTTGGCCGTGAGTGCATGGCCAGACTCAAATATGTGTACTCTTTCAAGTTTTCTCACCTCAATTTTCGTCTTATGGCGTTAAATTTTTTTTTTTTTAGCAATAGAATTCCCTACAGGGATATATATACATATGAAGTCCAAAAGCCCGGCGTGCCACCCGCATCAAACTCTCAAATCAGCCGAAGGTTACTCGTGAGTGCGCAACACCACCAAAATGTGTCTACTCTTCGTGGGGATTCTCACTTCAATTATCATCCTACGTCGTTCAATATGATATCAATTTGTCCACAATAGAATTCCCTACAGGGGTATATGCATATAAAGTCCAAAATCCATGCGAAAGGGCATAAGCAGCAGGACATATATGGAGCCCTGCAGGGTATTAGTGTGTGGCCAGTCCACCACATGACATGGTAAGCTATGTAAATATTGCAGGTGATGCTTGTGAGGGATGTGATTTGAACAGTTTGCATCATATTATGATATAAAATTCAAGTTTAGTTAACATATGAGTTGATGATGCAAATTGTCACTGGAATATAAGCATAATTTTTATGGATGAGGCATATTCCATCATCAGAATGCAAGAAAGCTATGGTCACTGTATTTGCATTCCATTTTAATATGTCTCTTGGAAATTCCATAAAAAAATCTTATAAAAAAGATGTCACTCATAATAAGAGCAGAAGACTAAAAGATATGGCATTGATTAATCTGTTAAGAATTTCTTACCAAATTTAAATAAATAAGTTTCTGTTATAAATGCACAAGCTTTGTTACAAGCAAAATTAATGAGAATTTTAGACTTTAAATGTTTTAAACTTATAACCATAAGAGAATCTTGATTAAACAATTTAAAAAACAAAATTTACTGCCCTTATTTTACAATAATAAGTCATTACATAAAAAATCTTAAACAATTTATGTCTAAAAATAATTAAAGATGGTTCATGTACAGTCTGTCACAATACATTGTGACAGACAATACAGGCAATACAGTTGTCTGATACAATCTTGTCTGCTATGTAGAAAGAATTAGCAGTACCTTTTCAATGCTCTTAATGACATCTTGGTTGCTCCAGTTCCAATATGGCCTTTCTCCGTAACTCATGACTTCCCACATAACGATGCCTAGACTCCAAACATCAGATGCACTTGTAAACTTGCGGAATGCAATAGCTTCTGGTGCAGTCCATCGAACAGGAATTTTCCCTCCCTGAAAAATACAATTAATAGTTACTATTACTGTATACTATTACTATTATTACTGTATATCTACAATTTAGGACAAGAAAAAGACTTTCATAAGAAATCAAATCTGAATAACATGATCCAGAATTACTTTTGGATTCTGTAGCCCCTCAAGCCAGTCAATCTCCAGCATCATTTCCACCACTATTTTGTTTTCTAGAAACTAAAATTAGCATTACAGTATTCACTAGCTAGAGACATTACTTTTATTCTAGCAATACTAGGCGAGAAAAAGGGCAACCTATAATTTACTGGCTCTCGCTGTTCGTGGTATACAGTACAGTGGTACCTCGGAATGCGATTGTCCCTGTATGCGAGATTTTCGGAAGGCGAGGTGTATTTACTCCAAAAATTTGTCTCAGAAGGCGAGGGTTACTTCGGGAGGCGAGTTTGGACGCGAGTTTGTTGATACGCGTACAGCCGACCTAGCGCGTTCGTCGCCCCTCCGCCCCGCCGCCCCTCAGTTTATTATTGTCTGGCGCTCAGTGACTACCCCCACATCAATTCTTCTCGCGGATTTTCAGTGTTTTGTTGGATTTTTGGTGATTTGTCTATACAATTTGTTATTATATATCTCACCATGGGTCCCAAGAAAGCCAGTGGTAAGGATAAAGGCCAGAAAGCTCCTGTGAGGATGACAATAGAGGAGAAACAAGAGATCATTCGGAAGCATGAGAACGGTACACGTGTTGTTGAACTTTGTAGGCAGTACAACAAAGCCACATCAACAATATGCACTATACTTAAGAAGAAAAATAAGATTATGGGTGCTAAAGTGGCAAAAGGAGTAAGAACATTAACGGCACAAATACTTGAAGAAGTGGAAAAGTTGTTATTAATTTGGATACACGACAAGGAGTTGAGGGGTGATAGTGTTTCGGAGGCCATTATTTGTGAGAAAGCCAGGGTGTTGCACGAAGACCTTCTAAAGAATACCCCTGCAACGAGTGATGCAGATAAGAAAGAGTTTAAGGCAAGCAGGGGCTGGTTTGAAAAATTTAGAAAGAGAAGTGGTATCCATAGTGTTACAAGGCATGGGGTTATGTGATGTGATTATGGAAGGGGACTCCCCTTCCAAACAGTAACTCCTCTCCTCCTCCCCCCTCCTCACCATCTTCCATACGCCTACAGCACTCGACAGTAAGGTAAGTAATAACTGGAACACAGTTTTGTAGGTTTATTTAGATGAATTAGGTATAAAAATTTAGTTTGATGTGGGGTTTTTGGGGTAGTCAGGAACGGATTAATTCATTTCCCTTTATTTCTTATGGGGAAATTAACTTCGGAATGCGAGTTTTCGGAAGGCGAGGCGTCTCCAGGAACGGATTAAACTCTTATTCTGAGGTATGCCTGTATGTTCATACGAAACTATGACTCGTAAAATACAGAATACACTGAAACTACAGTAAGACCTTATGGTAAAGCTAGGGATAGGTCTCTGACCAGGCCTCCTGGTTTTTCGTCTGGTCAACCAGGCTGTTGGACGCAGCTACTTGCAGCCTGACATATTAATCAAAACCTGGTTGATCAGGTATCTTCTTGCAGGTGTTTATCAAGTTCTCTCTGGAACACCATAAGAGGCCGGCCAATTATGCCCCTTATGTGTAGCGGGAGTGTGTTGAAAAATCTTGGGCCTTTAATGTTGATAAGAGTTTTCTCTCAGAGTACCTATTGCACCTCTGCATTTCAATAGGGCTATTTTACACCTCCTGCCATGCTTGCTGGTTTCATGTAATATTATTTCTGTGTGCAGATTCAGAACCTCTAATTTTTCCACCTGTCAAGTATTGTGTATCCCTTTTGCCTGTTCTCTAGAGAATACAGATTTAGAACTTTTAATCAATCCTAATAATTTAGATGTTTTATAGAGTGGATTCTAGTAGTAAAGGATCTTTGCACACACTCTAGGTCAGCAATTTCTCTGGTTTTGAATGAGGCTGTTAGAGTGTAACAATATTTCACCCTAGTGAGCATTAGTGTCTTGAAAAGAATCATCATTGGTATGGTATCCCTTGTTTGGAAGGTCCTTGCTATCCAACCTGTCATTTTTCTTGCAGTCGTGACAGCTACTTTGTTGTGTTCTGTAAAGGTAAGGTCTTCCGACATGATTATTCTAGATCCTTTACATTGCTTATTTGTTCTACAGTGTGATTTGAATACATTTAATAAATGGTTTTCTCATCATTTTGCAATTTCCTGGCATTCCTAAGCACTTCCATTACTTGCTTCACTCTATTAAATGTCACCCTTAAGGGGTGATTCTTGTCTCTCATATTTGCCTATCATCCTGAAATCCCTGATATTTTCCTTTGTTGTGAGGCCTTCTCCTAAAGCTACTGTTTTCACAATGATATTTTTCCTCTTCTGCTGCTTTATCCTAGAAAGTATTTCCTTTTCTAAGCACCCAAAATTATGGACTTATTCTACCTGCTGTGTTTTGTACTAACTTGCTATTGATAACCAGTTCTTTCCTAATTGCTTGCCTAATGTCTGCTGCTTGTTGCTCATTTCTGTTTTTGAATTTCAAACATACTTCTTTGACTGTACCACTTAGAATGTACTGCAAGTACCTGTACCACAAGAATGTACCACTTAACCCCTAAAATGTTTGGCTATTTAAAGATATTACACTATTACAGAGGTGCACTAAACAAAAAATAGTAAAAAAATCAAATGGGAAAAATCACATATGGAAATTGGAGCAGTGTAAGGGTTAATTCTCAAAATCTGTAATAAAATGGCTTATGGAAACTCACCCTTGTGGTATAGGCGCCTTCTGTGTGACTTTCTATCTCCCTTGATAACCCAAAGTCTGCAATTTTGCACATAAGCTGAGCATTAACAAGAACATTTCGAGCAGCAAGGTCCCGGTGAACATAATTCATCTCGCTAAGGTACTGCATTCCTGAGGCAATACATCGTAGCATTCCTACAAGCTGAAGAACCTGGAACTTTCCATCATTCACCTGAAATGTTTAGGAAAGTCAGAACAACGTCTTGCTTACTTTTCGTTATATAAGTACATACTGTATATATACTGGCTATAACAAATATAAGTATTTTTTTTTTTTACATATTTGTTCTCGGTGCAAGAAAGTGGCGACTTCTTTATTTCAATAGCATGCAAGTGGAACTACGAATTACGTAAAGTGGCTAACGTTTTATTTCCCACATGCAAGTGAAATTTTGTAATTGGTTTCAAGTTTTCCTTTGAAGTTATTACATTTGAATAGGATTAAAATGCTTGGGGAAGATTATGCATAGCAAGAATAAAAAGATGAACAAATCAGAAAATATATTTAATCATAGGAAAAAAAGCTTCTTAACTTTCATAAAAAAATATATTATGATTTAACTTTTAATGGAAGAGAACCAATTCAGGTAGAATGGTGATGCAAAAGGTGCACTCAAACTTCAGGAGTTAGTCCAACTTCCTCCTATGTGGCACACTTATAAATGTTGAAGCCAAGTAGAATCAAATACTAAAAGTACTACATACTAAAAATGTAACATATGAAAGATATCAAGATATTCAAATGTGATACTGACAAAGTTATTCAGCATGAATTATTATTCTCTTTAAGGTGCAGTTTGAAATAATGTTGTAATTTAAAAGGACACTAATGACATATAATTGACTACATAGTCTCATCACTGTTTTTGATGCACAAAGTAATTTTTAAACAACATTGTCATCATAGGACTGACCCTGAGGAAATGGTCGAGTGACCCATTTTCCATATACTCCGTGATGATCATAACTGGATTGCTCTTCGTCACTACACCTTGCAGGAAGATTACATTTGGATGCTCAAACTGGCCCATAATTGATGCTTCGGTCAGGAAATCTACTCGGGCCTTCTCAGATGATCCAGGCTGAAATTTGATGCATAAATTTCCCGTTATGGAGATGAGACAGCAGTGTCACTCCTAAAACACATTATACCACACAACTGCTTAAATAGCTGCAATTCACAAAGTTGCAGTAAAGTGATTATAAAAGTTATAAAGCAGACAGAATAATGCTCACTCTCGTATATTTTATTATATCCATATAACTTACAAAGCCAAAAATGCAAGTTGCATTCCTGTGCAATGCTTCATGTATGACACCACCTACTACTGAGGACACACTCACCATCAAGTCAATGTAAACCAAATATTCCAATATTCCAAGTCTGTAATTTTGCACATAAGCCGAGCATTAACAAGAACATTTCAAGCAGCAAGGTCCCGGTGAACATAATGCATCTTGCATGGCAATATAATGCTCAATAATGAAAACTTTCAGTTCTGCTATATAGAGAACCAAGGTATTCAATCTAGAAAAGAATATGTCATTGTCATTTCTCTAATTGTCATTTATAGTGTGGAAGGGAAAGCAAAAGGCCCGAGTTCAAATCCCTAAACGTGCTAAACGTATACATCTCTCCACACATTCTATTGTGCATACTGACATTCTCTTGTCATACTGACAAGTCTAATCCTGCTTTGGAACTTTTCCTTGATGAGCATAGTAGAATCCATGAACATCACACTAAAAATATCTTTGAAATTCCCAGAGTCAGACTAAATCTATGCAAATATGCCATACAGAAGAAAAGGACCAAATATATGGAACTCTCTTACTAATGAAGTAAAAAATTATCCAACATATACTTTAGTTATTCAAAAGTAGAACAATGAAGTACTGTACATAATTTCATCACTATAGTATCCCACCTTGAGTTGCTAGATCAGCTAGTTCTTTACTCTCTGGAAATACATCATCAATATAATTTCTTGATATCACAGCTTTATATTATTAAAGTAATTATGCGAATTAAAATTCTCATTATATACCCTGCACTACATTTATCTTCTGTTCAAGATAGTTTCATAGTGTAATAAAAAATTCACTGTAAATTGTGTTAGCTTTAAGACTTGATCGATATTGCGTGTTAGTAGCTTTGCAAGAATGTATCACGTAATCACTGACTATCTTATTTATCTGTTATGCGAATTCCTCAATCGTTGCACCTAGCTGTTTGTATATTAGAATAATAACTGAATTCCTCAACCTGTTATTGAAGAATATAATTGAGGAATTCCTCATAATATATGAGGAACTAATATACAAACCTAGCAATTAAACTCATAATTGTAGCTCTGTTGTGGGGTGTAATTGTATCTGCATCATACTGTATTGTATACATTACAGTGAGAACAGCCGACACCAAATATGTGAGAACAGCCGACACCAAATACAGTACAGTACAGGGTATGTGAAAACAGCCAACACCAAATATGTGAGAATATAACAATAGTAAAATGACTTTAGATGTGCACTGTACAGTACCATACTGTATCCACAATCTTCATGTCTAATTCCTTAATTCTACAATATATCCCTGACAAATTTATATAGGTGAACCTCGATTAACATCGCCCCGGTTATCAAAATTTTTGATGTCGTTAGAAAAAATAAATAACTAAATAAATTTATCATCAGATAGGCAAACAGTCCTGTTTTTAAAGTTTCCCAATGAAGGATAAAGAAAGCAATGAGGGTCTATAGTTATGATAGAAAATGAAGTACTGCACAGTATAGCGCACGAAGGGCTAATGTAAATATTGTCAACGAACAGCGTTAGCAAAATTTGGAGACAACATTATAGATGCCATTGAAATTATTAGGAACTTGTGGGGGGGGGGGATGTCAACAGGATTAATGAATAGTTGCTACTGTATTAAAAAAACAAAAATGGCCTTAGTGAAAATATACTCTGCAGTTTTCAGGTAAGATATGCCAGACATTCAGCATGAAATTGTTGGTTAGATCACACAGTTGACTTTAAAGAAGCTGATGAGGATGATTACAGAAAGCATTTGACTTGCACAGCCTTTAACCAATGAAGACATGATTATGCTGCATGAAACATGAGCAGAAGAAAAGAAAACGAATGAAGAGGACACTCAATCTGAGCTTTAACAAGAAGATTTTGATCAGAACTTTTCCAGGCACTTGACAAACTCACAACTGCCTTAACTGACAATGATCCTGACTAAGAATGTAGCTATACCATCTCTATACCTATACCTATAGCTATACCATACCAAATCGTCTCAAGATAACCTCAAGATATACCAAATGCAAGAATTTACTGTCTAGTGTTGCTTGTTACAGTTAAGTTTATAAGCAGAAGAAAAAAACAGCAGTTCAGCAGACATTAAATGTTTTTGCTAAGAAGGAGAATCACCAGAAGAAGAATGAAGACAGCCATGATGAGGATCGAGAAGATGAAAAGGGCACGGAAGATGAACAAAGAAGAAAGATGATCACGAACAGAAAGAAGAAGATGAAGAGATTACATTTGATCTAGATGATGCCATGCACATGCTTGAATCAGACGAGTAATCCCATAATGACCACACCACTTGGCGGAGAAACAATCATTTATGACACTTTCTATATCTGGGTTTTTAACATTTACAGTTTACAATCATATGCCTTTGTTTTATTTCACTACCTTCTTGAACGGAACGGACATTTAGGGAAAAAAATGACCAAACATCACCTTTCCCAGTACCCTAGGAATATACCTTTACATATACTGTAATATTAAGCATATGAGGTTTTTTGGTTAATCACGGTTTTCAGGAACCCCAACTTTACATTAGGTTTGATAGTATTTGCTTTATACACATAATATGACTGATATAACTTCCTAAACATGACCTACAGACCTTTGAATCCAAAGACATGTTTACTAAATAATGATACCGTATCAATGTCATCAACGAGAGCAAGCAATCCATTTTGCAGATGCAGCTTACCTTAAGAGTTTTAATGGCCACTGTCATTTCTGGTCTGCTGGGAAGCTGAAGTTTACCTTTGCAGACATCGCCAAACTCGCCGCCACCAATAATGGCTTCGATAGTTATGTATGAGGCATCAATTTCTCTTGCAAACTCCCTGATGGCTTGGTTGGGATCTTCGTAAGTGTGAGGATCTATGTAAGTTCGATGGTGGCCAACTTGTGTAAAGAGTGGTGTTGTCACTGTTAACAGGAGACAGTACTATTAACAAAATGATGAGTAAATTCATTGCACGCTATTTGACAACTGTTTTCCATTATGAGAGATGATCATCATGCTTTTTATGATCCAAGATAAGGAATCTGGAGCACATATTTTTTGTCTTACAACTCTTAGCCATTAATGGTACTACACAAATATTTTTTATACATTTAAAAAAAAACATAAATAAAAAAAATAAAAAACTTAAATTTTATAATTTCAAACAACTAATGACGCAACTAAGCATCTCAGATTGGAGCTAAAAAATATTGTATTGCAGTAAACTTCCACCATATAATAAACACATCTCATATGACAATGAAATAGAGCCATATGGACCATGCCACAGTAAGACGAGACACTGTCAACCTCCGTGTTCAAAACCATCTAAACAAGGGTTGAAAGACAATCGGCCCTCGTCTTACTGTGGGGTACATGCTTTCAAACAGTTATGTTTCTGTTAAGCTGAAAGTAGAAATTTGGTATCAATAAAGCTATGTGAATGTACTTCATGAGGGCCTTAAAAAAAAAATAACCTTGAGGGAAAGCAAAAATATGTTAATTAATAGGCATTAGTAGAGCAAAGCACAAAATATAACAAATACAGGGTTATAATGGTCTACTGCTACAGGTAGTAAGGTGTATAAGGATTTACAAAGGTGGTGGATATTGGTCATGGGGAGGTGCAACACAGGGCATACTCAATAACAGGAAAAAGGCTTTGGGAGAGAAGTGGAAAAAAATGCAAAATAATTCTTTTTTTTTTAATACCAATCATAAAGTAGGCATTCCAAAAATAAAATAATTTTCTGAATAACACCAGTTTCTATAGTTTCAATAATGCGAATTAAAATTTGGTTATTTTTTAATCATTTTAATCTCTCCTTTTGGCCACAGGTTAGTAGGACGTCAGGGAACTAATACTTACTACTTCCGGTGGTGTGGGTTTGGACTATAGGTGGGTTTTCCAAAACACCGTGCACTGTAATAGATGGGTAAAAAATACGGGAGTTAAACACAAATTACCAACTAGGGAGGATCATTTCCGCAACGATGACAAACAACCGGGTGGACTTACACTAAACAGGTGCCTGAGTGATCTAGACATACATGCCTCATGGGGGTCGGGGTTCTGGCTCTTCATGAAAGTACTTTAAAGAACTGCATTCTAATACTGCAGTTTGGAGGTATCTATATGGACTTATTAGAAAGGAGGAAGTGAAAAATATTTGCTTGCTAAAGCTTCTATGGATGGCTACAATCGTAATACCACTTGCTTTTATAGCAGCTTGTCAGTGAATGTTAGGTTGTATGAAACAACGTTCCCTAATTTTGATTTTCAAGTGCAGGTCATTATATTATATGTGTTATTTACAAACTAATTATCTAAAACCAAATGTTAAAAGCTACATATATCCCCTACCATATACATTAAAGCTACTCATACACTAAGCACATAACGCAGTGTTAAGGCGTAAGGTAGTAAGAACACGAAGGAAAAATGGCACACAAATGAATTGCAGAGATGCAATCTTGGACATCAAACAATAACAAATGCAAATGGACTTTTTGCAAAAAGCTTTTGCTTTATTAACACTAAGCCAAGACTTAAAACAGCAAATTTTCAGCCAGGAGTTGATAAAATGATGGGCTTCAATTACAGCCAGAACTAGAAGACAATTAAAGCAGGACTCCCTACAGGAGGCATGATGCAGGAGGCTACTGGTATGCACAGAAGGGCCAGGCATAAGACTTACACTTACTGAAGGTGACAATCAATCCTGGGAGGGTGATTGCAGGAGGGAGGGAAAGTGGGGCAAGTCAGAGTTTTAATTCTCCACAGCCAAGGATATTCACAAATAGGATCTTTGCCTTTGAAACCTTGGACTTCATTAACTTAGTTTCAAAATATTCATTTTGTATGGAAATCAAAAACAAAATTCTTAAAATAACATTAGGTTTCAAATGCATTCAAAGCACATGTTTCTCCTCATATACTGGGAGGCAAAAGTCATCAAACCCCAAATCTAGAGCACAAACTTTGGGGAAAATTGCATACTTTCATTATCTACTCAAAATACAGGGACACAGTTATAAAATAAACTGTTCCTCTGTTCAGCTACAAAGGAAGAGTGGGATTACAAATTGAGCTTTTTATCAACTTTTTATGCAGGGGAGAAAGGGTGTCGTGGTATCTGAGTGTGCAGGAGTTGTAATTCAGGCTATGAAAGTGTCAGGCAGTATGTACCAGCTTGATAATGATGCAAGGAGAGGTGTAAGGCAAGATGTGGGGGCTCCTGCAATACATGAGGCAAGTCCCCCCAACCATACTGTACAATTAAAAAGAGTAATGATAGGGGTGTAGCTTAAAACATGCGAACAAGCGCATGGGGTCTGAACGCTCAGCACAGGGGAGGAGCAGGAGCCTGGTGGGTGCTACACGTACTGTACACAGGAGATGTGTTTAGGATCCACGGGGTGAGATGCCCAGTTCTAAAGCAGGCAGGGTGTAACGCAGGATGACACAAGTTGGTGGTATCTGTTAGGTAAGTTTACTTTTGATTTCTAGAACAGATGTACTTGGAAAGAAAGAAAGAAAAAAAAGTTTCTGAAGTTGATATAAGAATGTACAACAAAATCAAACCTTGCAATTGTGAGCATATCTAATAAAATAATAAACTCTTCTTTACCTTATTTTTAGTCTAAAGATTAGGATAACAAAAAAAAAAATGCTTAAACTGAAAAAAAAAACAGAAAACACTTCATTCTCATTTGTCTTAAATTCCTAAGACCGAAAAAGAGTCTTACCTTCACCATTGCGGTATTCTAAGGTGTCACAGTCAGATGGCTGCTTCTTATTACATTCATCTGTGCCTCTGCTGAAAAATGGAAACATATCAAGTTTAGTTTAAGAGAGCAGCCCACCACTAGTCACATGCTAAGGAAACCAAATGCCTTTCATTAGTAAAATTGCCAGTAGGCATTTGTAGCCTCAGGAGTCAAGTTATGGAACAAAGTAAAAATGTTTAGTACTGTATTTGTGTAGCATATTATACAGTGATACAACTATGATAGAATGATACAACTAGCTAGAATACAGCTACTTTATTAAATAAAGCAGAAAACTCAAAATACTTTCAAGGAATCACTTATCTGTCAGGCTTCAAGGTGCATTAGCATTCCTGAGGAGAGCTAATGACTTTAAAATGATGTTTTGTTTGAAAAACACAATACAATATACAAAGGATAATGAGAGTGTACTGTAGATGATTTAGCCAAACTTCATACTTGTTAAACCTTTACACTAATTCAATTCAATTTCAAGAAGACATGTCAATTGTTAGTTTGACATATAACCTACTATGTGTGTGTAAGCTATACATTGCTGTATACATATGTATATAGAGTATCATATACAGTACAGGCATGTATGAAATTCACAGATTACAGATGATAATTTATTTTGTCAGGGACAGGAAGCCTGTGTAAATAAAATATATATATACTGTGCATATGTATGTGTATATATATGTATATATATATAAAATTTACATATAAGACAAATTTTACATGTAGTTAATGTTAATGTTATTGTAGCTGATTGGGAAATGTAGTTGTAGGTAAAAGTTCAACTATTTTCCCTAACTAGTTACTGGAGCACAATGTACAGTACAGAAATTGAACAGTGACAGTGGAACAACGTTGAACTATGTCACTGTTTGTCAGGAACTATGTCATCAATATTTGCAAGATTTTATCAGTGACTAAAAAATTATTGCTTCAAATACTCTATTGGTCTTGTAAGGTATTTTTTCTTATTAAGAGTACTTTAATTTTATCTTCAATGCTGTAAGTATATCTTCTTAAAAGGTCTTAAAAATATTTTAAATTTATATGTTAAATAATGTCAGAAAAAATATTATTTGGTTAAATATATATGGCAACCAATTGCCTTTTTAAATGTTAAAACATTAAAACAAATGCCTTAATAGACTAAAATAAAAAACACAATCCCCACCTTCTCAAGAACAGGAGTGTCATGATAACAATAACCGCAATCACGACAAACGCTCCCACTGTTGCTCCGACAATGATACGAACTTGCGTGTTGTCTTCGTCTCCAACATAAGCTGAAAAGTAACCCCGATATTTTCAACACACCATGTAGCACAAAATTGGAAATAACACTCCTTAATTCAAATAAAGCCAAATATTCCTAGAGAATTTCAATGCAATTTTATGTAACGATTAGAGTACAGGGGCAGTGCTATTTCAGCACACATATCAAAATTCCTATCAAAAATACATCTTATATACAGTGCTAGATGTACTGGGATAAAGAATCAAGCATGCTAATACTCATTTGAACACACAATATTATAAATTCATACAATATTTAATCTACAAGTCTCATTACTCAAATGTTCTGCTATTGTTTACCAATATTGGTATTTTACAGAATTTACCCGAGGGGCCACTAACACACTAGTGGCCTTAATGAGGACAGGAAGCTGGCAGCTTATCAAAGGTCCCCCATTTGTCCTGACGATTTTTTCATGCTGGATTTTAAAGTTCTGCAGAATTTTGGCATTTACAGGTTAGGCAGGTAAGCAATTTCTACGGGTGAAAAAGCATCCCTCGTTTTCAGTCCTACAATGTGTCTTGTTGAGCTTGAAATGATTGCTCCTTTTTTTTGTGTTATGTACATGTGAGCTTTTGAAGACGTTATCCAGATCAACGTCCTCCTAATACAGTATCCACTCAATTTAACGGACTCTTTTATACCGATCTGCCGGTATTAACGACCGGTTTGGGAGACCGGTATCTGGAGCCTGCTATACCGGTCTGCGGTCGATATTACCGACGGTCGGTATTGGGTTTGTTGTGGCATCAGCGTCCCCTCACATGGCGACCAGGCCACCAACCTGGATCGTCCAGAGTCATATATTAAATCTTAATTTTCTTTTAAAATGATTCACTTTAATGAAGAAAATTGTAAATTATTATTAATAAAATATTTTGAAACAGTTTTTATTAAGCAAAAGTCTTTGTTTTCTTATTAAATACCTTTTATAGTATAGGCACTAGGTATTTTTTTTCCCACGGACCTAGAATGTACTCCGCCGGGCCATGTGTTCCCATTGTTTACTGTGAACTCGCACGGCTAGCTTCAATTGTGAAGGATATTACTGTACTGTAATTGTGATCTTTTTAATTTACAAAATGCCAAAAGTTACCCAAAGGAAGCGCCTGACGGTTGCACAGAACCTGGAGTTAATTAAGAAACTTGATAAAGGATATTCTCATGCACGAGCAGCAGCAGAGTTTAACATCGGGAAAAGTACAGTAAGTGACATCAAGAAACAGAAGGATACTCTATTAAAATATGCCTGAAAATAAGTGTACATACAGTATGTACCCTGTATACAATATAAACAATATAAAACAAGCGCTGCAGAGGATGACGTAATCTTCACAGCTTCGTAATCTTCAGCTTCATTAAAAGTAAGTCAATTTACCAATTTTATTATAGAATTACAAGATAATTGTTTTTTTTCAACAAAAGCTACATATTAGTCTCTGCAAATGTATATTCTATCGTCAGCAGAGAATAGGTGAGCTCAAAATATTTCGTCTTGGCTAGCTCTCAGTGACAAGGCTCGATCGCCATTGTTATGGCATGGCCGCCACAGCCTGTGTTGTAACATTAAAAATACATTACCTGCACTGTTCAGGGTAAATCAAAACACATCTCTAAAATATTATTGAGAAAATATTAACTTGCTGATTGATACATGAAATATTTTGCAATACAAAGGAATGAATCAATTTTTTCCCACCCATCTGGGCTTGATCAGACCGTGTTCACACATCATCCATGCAGCAGCCAACAACTGGCTTAATCGTCGGTGTGGCACTAAATTGGAATGCAATTACACAATGAACTTTATTTAATTTTAGTTATACAGTATAAAATATATCCTACCTGAATGTTACTTGAAAAATTACCCGACCCGACTTAACTTTGGAAATAACGGAGCTCCGGAAATAATGACTAGGGCTCAGCCCCATATAGGCCGTTAAATTGAGTGGATACTGTAGTTCAGTACTGTAAACGTTTTGATGGGATCATCCTTATGTCTGGTTTGCAGTGTTGTTAGCCCTGTAGCCCTCAACATGTCCTGGTATGAGAGTTAACTTATTTCTGGAATGATCTTTGTTTCCCGGTGTTGAACTTTCTCCAATGAATGTGTCTTTCTGAAGATGAGGTCTCCATGCATGGATGCAATAATCCAGGTGGGAGCACACCAGAGATTTATAAAATTGAATGACTACCTTCTTTCCCTTCAAGTCAAAGGTGCGCTTAATTATAACTAACTTGCATGACTAACGTAATGTTAGTAATGTAAGTTACTAACTTAAGTAACTTAAGTTAGTCACCTTAGTAAGCTATGTTACTCACCTTGTGCCTTAAAATGTAATTTTCTTTATACGACTGAATACCTGTTCAGTTCAGCTAGAATTATAGCTATCTGTATAAATGTGCATAAAATTCATTACAAAAATAGCTTTAGAATTTCAAATTTTAATGATTTACTTGCGACCTGCTTCACTAGTAATCTCCTCTCACAACAAAGCCTGAGGCCAGACTAAATGCAATTATCTTACCAGTTCCTAAAAGCTGTCCTGTCTTCTTGTACACTGGCGCCGAGTATTCCCCCCAGCCATGAGTTGTCTTGGCACGGACCTGAAACCCATAGTCAGTCCTTTGCCGCAAGGAGACCAAAGAAGATTCTTCCTTTTTAGTCAATATACTAGACGAGTTGTTCTGAAGACCTCGGACATAATAACGTACCTGCAAAAATAATGCATTACAACTTGGTCATGGTAGAGGAATACAAACATGTACGGTACATTTTTAATCTTGGAATGCACATCAGTCTCCAAACTACCAAAGCTTGTAATAACATAAAAGTAATCCCAAAAATACCTACACATTTTTTCATCTTTGTATTAACCTTCTATTCTCTGTATTTCCATTTATACTTCTGGGAAGGTATGATACCCAGCCTCTTAATTTATGTTTGTGTTAACACTCTTAGAGCTCTCAATGTACTGTAAGTACATCCAACACAATCTTAGTTTTAAATTTATGCAAAAATTCCTACTAAATTTAAGGCAAATCCAAAAATCCTATTGCAAAGTAACGAATTCTATCGAGAACCAGACAGAATAAAGCCAATGTACCTCCATGTAATAAAGTCAATAAGGTGTGTACAGCATCAATATTTATGAGGTTTTATTTCATTACCAACACCACTTTCAAGTGGTGTAACCATGGCAATAAAGCCTATAAGCCATACTGGTAAAGAATGCAAACAATTTTTTTTTTAATTACTGTATTAATATTTGAATTTCAATACCTCTCCAAATGGGGTCTGATTATGAATGCAGATGATGAGTCACAATAACATGACTGAAGAAATAATGACAAAACCACACACCAGAGGATGAAGAAACGACGATGTTTCAGTCCGTCCAGGACCGTTAAGACGATTTAGATTGGAGAGAGGAGATTATAATCTCCCCTATCTCAGTCAACTTGATAATGGTCCAGGACGGATTGAAACGTCGTTCTTTCATCCTCTGGTGTGTGGTTTGGTCACCTGATTACGAATGTATACGAATGTACTCGAATATCGAGTAAATTAATAACCATGGATCATGTTCATAAACAATTACCTGCAGTAACTAACACCAGTGTTACTGTCACTTTACAATTTAAAATCTGATTAATTTCTAAGGTTACAGAACCGTTTAGCATTCCTTACCTCATACATTTCAATATCCGAGAACGGATCACTTGGGGCATCCCAAGCCAGGGAGATCTCGGTGCTCTTCACACTTGTAACACGAACATTGCTCACCATGGATGGCACTGCCAATTTACAAACAAGATTAACTTCATAAAACTAGTAAAGCAATGCATGATTTACAATATGGTGTAAATTCTTTAAAGGGGAAACTAATCATTACTGTACGGTATATACTGTAGTTAATTTAAGTACTGTATAGCACAACATTCATTGATACAGACCTGTACTGTTATATATTACATAATTTCCACTTGATATTTACATATATATTATATAATATACAGTATATATTGGAGTACCATTACACAGCTAATATAAAAACTATTTTAATCCCATTTTTCAAGTGAAAATTAATTGAAAATACACATGCAAATACTAAAATGAATTATAATTATATAATTAAGGTATACAAATATTATTTAAATTATACAAATACAGTATATATAATTATATAAAACAGTTGTAAATAAAAGTGATAGACCTAATTTAATCCCATAAAATGCTTGCCACTGTCTTGTGAAACTGAATATTTATATATTATTTACCAAACAATTACATTATTATGAGAAGTTTGGTAAACAACTTATCATTATGTCAAATCAGAAGAAAAAAGTTAGCTATGCAGTAAAAAAAAATACTCTTACACAACTGTACTTTATGATGCTCAAGTGGAAAAAAAAAAAAGGAAAATCAATTCCAATTCATTCTAGCTACAGGAAGGAGTCGAAGGATAAGAAAAAGTGAACTACAAGAAGGTTCACCCACCCTCAGCTTCGTTGCCAACCACCATAAAGCCACCTTGGTAAGGGAGAAGGAGAAGGGGGTCGTGTTACTAAGGGTTATATACACATGTCTCACACGACACTTATAAAAACGTACACAACACTGTTCAAACTGATGGCTATGGAATATTTACAAAAGGAGAGTGCGTCACAGTAAAGCTGTGTTTTATTACAAGTTATTTCACAATGACACTACAATTATTGACGTTTATGGGTTATCTCATGCAGCCTACAGGTTTCTGCTATATGTAAATTACGTACTGTACTTCACTGAAAAAATAAGACAATCGTAATGGATTTATATTTTTGCTATATAATATTATATCAAATATAATATTATATCTTAACATCAAATTATATATTATGTACTATTATGAAAGACTAAACAATTCTTTACTATCACATAAAACTTGCAAAACGTTGATATTGCCTAATAAAAACCTACCTGAAGCCTCCGTCGTGACTGTGATATCAACGTACTGGGGGTCTCGTGCTTGGTCTGAAACACCATTCTCTGCAAACACCTGAAATCTGTAGGTTGTGACGGGATTTAGGCCACTGATTGTAACTTGAGTGGCATTGAAACTCTCCTGAAATGGAAAAAAAATCATTACCTGTTGTTGTTGTTTTAGATTCAGCTGCTTGGAACCAAAAGTTGCAAGTAACACGGGCTATGGTGAGCCCGTAGTGGACTTACCTGGCACAGGAGCGGGGCAAGCAACACGGGCTATGGTGAGCCCGTAGTGGACTTACCTGGCACAGGAGCGGGGCAAGTAGCACGGGCTATGGTGAGCCCGTAGTGGACTTACCTGGCACAGGAGCGGGGCAAGTAGCACGGGCTATGGTGATCCCGTAGTGGACTTACCTGGCACAGGAGCGGGGCAAGTAACACGGGCTATGGTGAGCCCGTAGTGGACTTACCTGGCACAGGAGCGGGGCAAGCAACACGGGCTATGGTGAGCCCGTAGTGAACTTACCTGGCACAGGAGCGGGGCAAGCAACACGGGCTATGGTGAGCCCGTAGTGAACTTACCTGGCACATTTCCATTTTACAAACAACTTAAGTGTGTAATACTGTATAAGTTTATTATAGAACTTACAGGAAAGATATATTAAAATTTGTAATATCTCTTACAAATCAAAATTCAACCACTTACCCCCCTGATAAAAGATAAATATAATTGATTTATTTCAATATTTGACAATACTGTACTGTAATAAGGTTATTTTATTCAAGGGAATCCGAGTGTGGTTTTTTCACTTGGATCTTTGTGGAAGATCTTTTTCTATTATTTTTTGCTATAAATAATTACATTACACCAAACATACAACACATGGTTGTATGGGGCCCATATCTTAAGAAGCACATCAACAAACTGGAAAAGGTGCAAAGACATGCAACTAAATGGCTTCTGGAAGTGAAAGACAAGAGCTACGAAGAGAGGTTAGACCCATTAAATATGCCAAAAACTAGACGATAGAAGAAAAAGAGGGGAAATGATCACTACATACAAAATAGTAATGGGAATTGACAAAATTGATAAGGAAGAATTCCCGAGACCTGGAACTTCAAGAACAAGAGGTCATAACTTGAAGTTAACTAAACATCCAGCATGATCAACCAGGCTGTGGTTGCATCAGACTGCAAGCAGCCGCATCCAACAGCCTGGTTGACTAGAACCAGGAGGCCTGGTCGGAGACTGGGCCGTGGGGCCTTTGATTCCTAGAACCTCCACAAGGTATGTAGGTAAGGTAACAAAGCTACCAAAGAAATATAAGAAAGTTCACTTTGCAAATAGAGTGGTAGACGGTTGGAACAAGCGAGAAGGTAGTGGAGGCCAAAGCTGTCAGCAGTTTCAAAGTGTTATATAACAAAGTGATTGGAAGATGGGACACCATGAGCATAGCTCTCATCATGTAACTACAAGTAATTACATATTGCACATAGGCAAAACAAAGTCTCTAAACCTGTTGTATTCTCTCAAGTCAGATTTTATGTTCCCTACTCTGCTCTTCTCACACTATAGTATATGGGTGGTCGAACTTGCTTACTGTATGCGCCACAAATGATAAAGCTCAGATATTTTGAGAGCCGCAGGACATGAACAAAATTTACACTTGCGATTTTTTGTTTTTGTAACATACACATTTTGTTACAAAAATTTTACATAAATTAACAAAAGAATGCATTTGGCCAAGAGCAGAGTGTGGCTCACGAGGCGTGGTTTGGCCACTCTTGCTATAGTACTTACTAATATACTGTATATTCCTATCTAACTTAGGGTATCTGTGCATGGGGTTTAACCACTGCAGACTAACTCAAGCCCATCATCATTCAACAAAAATCAAAACTACTGTATAACAAATACTATCTTCACGTAACACACAGCCCCTGTTTAAATCGCTAAATATACTAAATATACACTCACTCCAAACATTCTCACGTGTTACACTTAAAAAACTGGTTATTAAATTTGTAATACTGTTTTGAAACTCTTCCTTGATAGATGTAAGAGATCCCATGAGCATCAAACAGAAATAAATATCTCTGCTATTCCTAAAGTTAGACTAAATCTGTGCAAACACTCCGTGCCAAATAAAGCGACCCGATATATGGAACTCGCTCCCCCCAATGAATACAAAAAAAATTCTCAACCTATATTTTATTCAAAAGTAGAATTATGAAATACTGTATAGTACCTAATTTCATCTTCATCGTATCCCACCTTGTGCTATCAACTCTCACAGTATCTTGTGCTACCGACTCGCACAGTACATTACAATGTAGAAATTCAACCTCATCACTGTTATCTTATTTTCTCTCTTCATACTGATGTTCATGTGAATTCAAATTCTGATATACAAATAAGTATAATGATGTAGCTATCATTATGCTTATTTCTTTCCTTAAGGACATGCCTAAAATGCTATGCGCACTAATGCTTTTGAAAGAATGTACTACTCAACCACCAGCGTATATACTTTAACAAACCATTGTATCTTCTTGTATATAAACAAATAAATAATACATTTGTTATACAGTATTTCACAGGTGTATTACTTACATCTGCTACCTGAGGCGGGCTGTACGAGACATGGCTCCCACAAGCATCACAGATGACTCGGTACAAGGTGTCGGTGCGTCCACCGTCATTCATAGGAGGATGCCAGGCAAGGATCACAGTGGCTTGGTCCACAAAATTTACTGTGATGTTCTGAGGCTTGCTTGGAGGACCTGTTAGAATAATTCAGGTAATTATACAATATATCAAAACAGACAGAAGTTTGTATATCTGAAAAATCTATATGCTAAGTAAAATTAAATACAGTATTGTATAACTCTCCAATTATGTCAAAGATAAGTGAGAACTGGTTACAAATTTACTGATAAAATGGAACTGCAAATTGCTTAGTCAAAATTATCAAAGTGGTGATGCCTAAGTTCATCACAAGTACAATACAAGGAGGCCTGATCAAGGATCGGGCCGCTGGGACGCTAAGCCCCAAAATCACCTCAAGAAGTACACATCTTCTCACCGACAATGGTGGTACAGTACATTGGTTTGATATGTTACCTGGAGTATACCTGAAATGGGCTCTGGGTGTTGTTCTACTTCTCATGTATGGCCCAGGACCAGGTTTGACATGATAACTTGGTCCACCTTACCTTGAGGCTACCTTGAGGTGCTTCTGGGGCTTAGCGTCCCGGAAGCTGTAAGCAACAGGCTGTTGCTTACCTACAGATACCTGGAGAGGGTTTCGGGATTTCTTCTACTTCCCGAGCCCAGCCTGAGGCCAGGCCTGGAGATTTACATAAACACTACACCCAGTTCATTCGGTACTTCTTGCAGGAACGTGTCTATTTTTCCTTGAACAAGTCCATATTTGTATCAGCAATATTTCCTGTTTGCTGGGAGGATACTGATAAGCTGTGGACCTCTGATATTCGTACAGTGTTCATTTCTATCTATGGCATCTCTCCTCTCCTCCAGGTATATTCTGCATTTTCTACTGTATCTTTCACTACAGTATGCTGTTATTTTACTGAGGAAATTTGGGATCTGCCCCTTCCAATATCTTCCATGTATGCATTATGATACCTATCTCGTGTCCTTTTTAGAATGACAGTACATTTTGAGAGCTTTGATATGGTCCCAATAATTTTGGTGCTTTATTTTATCTGTGTACAGTACTGTATATGTTCTCTAAAATTCCTTCTATTTTAGAAATCTCTCCTGCTCAGAAATGTTAAGTGAGTACTGAGCAGTGTTCAAGACAGGAAAGTACAAGTGATATGAATACTAGGAGCATTGTAGAAGAATTTCTAGATTTGAAAGTTGGGCACATTTCCTTTCACCTAATGCCTCTGTTCAATTAGCAATAAATAGGTACTTTGGATTTGGGCAACTGCTGTGGGGTTGCATCCTGGGAAAGGTCTTAGTTCAACCTCCTTGGGGGGGGGACTGTGATTCAAGCCTAAAGTATACATATACTCAGGTTTCCTGTCCCTAACAAAACGATTTATTAAATGATAATCATTATTCCCAGATCCTTTACAGTATTTGGTCGACTTACTCTTTGCATTCTGTTTGATAGAAAATTGAATATATAATGCCCTACTTTACCTGTTATTCCTACTGACCACATTTTGTGGGCTATCACTCCATGGTCACATTTATCAAATGCCTTTGCAAAGTATGCAAACTTTGATGATGTATGCTTTGCAAACTTTGATGGGTATGCACCCCATACCCATCTTGTGGGTGGTAGTGGAAAGAGTTACAGAGGCACATAATGGGCTTAGAGACTGAACCCCACCCACAATTCATTTGGCTAAGTAAGTTACAATCTTGATGAGCTAGTTACAAAATTCAGTATAAGTCGTCACATTGTTGATGTAACGACTTATACTGAATTTTGTAACTAGCTCATCAAGATTGTAACTTGCTTAGCTAAATGAATTGTGGAGTTCAGTCCCTGAGCCCATTATGAGCCTCTGTAACCCTTTCCACTACTGCCCACAAGATGGGTATGGGGTGCATAATAATTGAACTAAACTAAACTTTGCAAAGTCCTTGTATACTGTACCACAAACGCATTCTCTTTTTATTCTAATGCATCAGTGATTTTGTCATAGTGGTAGAGTAGCTGGAAAAGGCATGATCTTCCCGCTCTAAATCCATGTTGGCCTGGGTTGTGGAGGTCATTGGTCTCCATAAAAGTGGAGATCTGACTCCTGATCCCTCACTCAAATTGTTAGTTTCATGTTACTTTGCACTTCACTGGGCTCATGATTTGAGTATGTAGTATCTGAGATTGTAATGTTTCTGATTATTGCTTCATTGTTTGAGAAGATAGTACAAGTACCAAGTACTCTATGGTACCTGGTACTTGATTGTACTTATTGGCTCTTGAGTGCTGGCGGGAGAGATACATAATAATTTACATGTGGAAAATAGATATGAGACCAGAAGGTATGGCAGGATGTGCAGAATACCTTCGTTGAAGAGCAGTGGTACAATAGGTACTCTGAGAGAGAACTATCAACATCAGAGGCCCGAGACTGTTCAACACGCTTCCACTACACATAAGGGACATAACTGGCCGACCCCTCACAGTGTTCAAGAGAGAACTATCAACATCAGAGGCCCGAGACTGTTCAACACGCTTCCACTACACATAAGGGACATAACTGGCCGACCCCTCACAGTGTTCAAGAGAGAACTATCAACATCAGAGGCCCGAGACTGTTCAACACGCTTCCACTACACATAAGGGGCATAACTGGCCGACCCCTCACAGTGTTCAAGAGAGAACTTAATAAACACCTCCAAAGGATACCTGATCAACCAGGCTGTGACTCATACGTCAGACTGCGAGCAGCCGCGTCCAACAGCCTGGTTGACCAGTCCAGTAACCAGGAGGCCTTGGCGATAACCGGGCCGCAGGGACGCTAAGCTCCGAAACCATCACAAGGCAACCACAAGGTATTGGTACCATGTGGCAATTATTGATACCGAACAGAACTTAAGGGCATCCAACTGCACTTGGCGACATCCAAATGGTGTTAATCAACACCTAACTGAGGAGGTGGAATTGGCAGGGGGGGGGGGGTACTTACGGGTACAAGGCATGGCGCGGGGGTCACTGACTGCCCTGTAGTAGCCGGTGTCACACCTGCACTCCGAGGCACCAGCGTGGGGTGCGGCACTGTGGTCCGGACATGCCCGGCACTCTGCCGCTCCAACGCTGTCCTTGTACTTCAGAGGCGGGCACACTATTCACAAAAAAGCAAAACAAAAAAATACATTAATGTCTGTATACTCAAATTCCTAATGTGATTATTATTAACATCTTTATTGAGGAAATTTAATCGCTATATGAGTTGGATTTATTTCCTTTTTCTTAATGTACATTTTCAGAGGTAATGAATTGTAGAGAGAAATACAGGCCATCATTGCTCTTCCAGAAATTATATGATTGTAAATATACAACACAGCCAATATACATGTGAATGACAATACAAGTCATTCATACATACATACAAACAATAGTGCTTTACCTCAGATAAAAGAGGAGTCACTCCCCCATGGCTAATTCTAGGACCTATAATCTCTTATTATTATAAGTCAAATATATTTATGGGATCTTAGCTGTAAAATAAATTGATGTTATTTTACTGATGACATTATATATTGCAGGTTGAGGCTGCACTACACTTACCAATATGTTAAATAACTTACAATATTCTGTACCATAATATTCTGTACCATAAACGTTCTCTCGGTATAAACCCTGTGATTGTCACAGGGTTGTATGATACTGTATGATTGTCACAGCTGTAGGAACAACTTGCTGGAAGGTTAAACTGCTATGCCAAGTACAACACGGGCTCACCATAGCCCGTGCTACTTGGAACTTTGTTCCAGGTAGCGAATCTTTAACAACAACAACAGCCAAGTACATGACAAGGGCTTCCCTCAACGAGCTTCCTGCATCAAGTTAAAACGTTAAATACCTCTCATCTTCCACCTGCTAATACATCACATTTTTAACGGTTTGATGAATGTTAAAAATACGACCTATTAATAAAAATGAAAGCACCGTAATATAGACGTTATATGAGTATTGGCCAGGTAGATTGTACATCTTCACATCTTGCTGTCCAGAGAACATATTTATAGGTAAGCTTAGTAATGTAACATCGCTAGTTCTAAAGGAACAACCCATCCTTAGTCTATGTTCATTCCATCCAGCAGACGACCCCAAACACGCATTCATTAATTTTTAACATGCTGTTCATTCAAAATAGGAATGTTCTCAAATATAAATTAATATTCTTATATATTAGCATATTTAGACATTGGTTAGGTTAGTTGTTTAGTTTAGGTTCTGTTGGTTGATGTTGGTTGGTTGGTTAGTTCTGTTGGTTGATGTTGGTTGGTTGGTTAGTTCTGTTGGTTGATGTTGGTTGGTTGGTTAGTTCTGTTGGTTGGTTTAGGTTCTGTTGCCGATTATTTGTATCTGTAGTACGTGGGTGAACATTTACAGTGTTGTGGTTCGAACAAAAGTTGTCAGCGAAGCTCTATTCAAGGAAATATTTAAACGTCAACATTTGTGAGTCGTGTGTAAACAGTTTTTCATTCATATACAGGGGGGGGGGGGTTGGCTGGTGTATGGATTTCCTTTGGCCTTTGTTTATGAGGACGGCCTGAAGGGCAAGCTGCTCGTGAATCGAGCCCCAACCTCAGGAACCACACTACTTGAGAAGTTGTAGATATTTTTAAGGAGGCTGGTCTCTCAAATACGTGGGATGGTTCCTCAATTGAATTTACCTGAGGGCCGCCACCACCACACTAGTGGGCTCGATGAGGACAGGAAGCCAGCGGCTTGTCAAAGGTCCCCCCCCCTCCCTCCCATTTGGAGGAACGCTAGCTACAGATGTTTATAGGTTACTGAAGTGGTTAATTAGTAATTGAGTAAAAGGAAAATTGAAATGTCGTAGACAACTCCATGCACAAATTTAAAAGCATATTTGATATTAGACTAGAAGATTGGGCACCACTGCCTAAGACAATCGACAACGGGAAAGGTGGGGACCAAGAACTGAAACTCAATCCTTCAAGCACAGACGAGTGCGACTCGCACTGAAACAGCACCGCTGAATCAAAACTTAATTCGATTCCAATTGCATACAGTGAATTAAACCAAATTATAATTACATCGTGTGGTAGTTACGGGTCTAGAGTTAGACAAGAAGAGGACGATGATGAGGAAGATGGTCAGTGCAAGGGGACAGGGGATATGGAGAGGTAGGATAGTTTTTTTTTTCTACCACAAACGTGGCCACACATTTACAATGCTAACCAGCATATATACATTTTCTTCTGTCCTCCATGGACAGGGTTAGAGATGTGTTAAACATATAGTTCAAAGGTTTATTGAACAATCAACCACAGAAGGTGATTCGGGGTAGGATAGTGGCAGAGGAGAAACAGGATAGTGGATGGGGAGGATAGAGGATGTACTCACCTAATTGTAAGTAGGCTTGTGTAAGAGCGAGAGGAGGGAAGGGGGAACAGAGGGCACCTGATCCCTCAGAGGAATACCTTACATTAAGGTCACCTGCAGGTGGTTTCCGCGGATCAATGCCCCCTCTGCCCGGTCTCTGACCAGAGACAGCATTGATCCTCTGCGGCTCGCAGTCTCAGGCATGAACCACAACCCACTTGATCAGGGATCTTTGGAAGTGTTTATCAAGTTCCTTTTTGAACACCGTGGGAGCTCGACTACTTATGCCTCCTATGTTTAGATGGAGTGTTGAACAGTATTGGATCCTTGATGTTGATAAAACTGGCTTTTAGGTTCCCTTTGAATAACTAATTTTCAATAAGACTATTTTAGTCTTATTGCCGCGTCTTATTGCATCATAAGACTATTTTAGTCTTATTGCCGCGTCTTATTGCATCATAAGACTATTTTAGTCTTATTTAGACATTCTGCCGCGTCATCTAGTCGCCAAGGCAGTTGTGTATATGTGCAAATTTGGATCAAGTCGCTATAATATTTTCCACATGTAGATTATTACCGATATATATGTCTCTCATCACCTGTGTTCCAAAGATATACAGAGATTGAGACATTTTAAGCGGTTCCAATAATTTTGATAATTAATCATCCACAAATATCGGCATATAGGGTTCTACTTTCATAGTTAAGTCATTAATATAAATGATAAATAGTATGGGTCCTAGTACCGATCCTTGTGGAACTCCACTTGCTACCCAGGGGCCAGATTCACGAAGCAGTTACGCAAGCACTTACGAACCTATACATCTTTTCTCAATCTTTGGCGGCTTTGTTTACAATTATTAAACAGTTAATGAGCTCCGAAGCACCAGGAGGCTGTTTATAACAATAACAACAGTTGATTGGCAAGTTTTCATGCTTGTAAACTGTTTAATAAATGTAACCAAAGCCGCCAAAGATTGAGGAAAGATGTACACGTTCGTAAGTGCATGCGTAACTGCTTCGTGAATCTGGCCCCAGGTTCGTAAGTGCATGCGTAACTGCTTCGTGAATCTGGCCCCAGGTTCGTAAGTGCATGCATAACTGCTTCGTGAATCTGGCCCCAGGTTCGTAAGTGCATGCGTAACTGCTTCGTGAATCTGGCCCCAGGTTCGTAAGTGCATGCGTAACTGCTTCGTGAATCTGGCCCCAGGTTCGTAAGTGCATGCGTAACTGCTTCGTGAATCTGGCCCCAGGTTCGTAAGTGCTTGCGTAACTGCTTCGTGAATCTGGCCCCAGGCCAATATCTCACAGTGTTAATAAAAAAGGAACTCTTATAAACACCTCCAAGGGTTACGAACAGCTGCACCCAACAGTCTGGCTGACCACTGAGCCTGGAAACCATCGCAGGATAAAGTAAAGTGTGATTTCTTGTTCCTCACCGTGACTGATTCCTGTCTGTTAGGTACTCTCACTAATTCTTCTGTGAACCTGCTTCTGAAGTTTATACACATGGATGCAGGGAGATAAAAGTCCCAGGCTGTCAGATGGGCAAAAGGTTTCTTTCACCCTGATGCCCCTTGTTACCTAGCAGTAAATAGATACCTGGGAGTTAAGACAGCTGCTACGGGCTGCTTCCAGGGGTTGTGTAACTAAAAAAGGAGGCCTGGTCGAGGACCGGGCCGCGGGGGATGCTAAGCCCAGAAATCACCTCAAGATAACCTCAAGAAGATAACCCCACAATCACCACGCTCCAACTGCCAACCCCAACAACCTGATCCACACCAACATCCTTGGACACGCCCACACCAACATCCTTGGACACGCCCACACCAACATCCTTGGACACGCCCACACCAACATCCTTGGACACGCCCACACCAACATCCTTGGACACGCCCACACCAACATCCTTGGACACGCCCACACCAACATCCTTGGACACGCCCACACCAACATCCTTGGACACGCCCACACCAACATCCTTGGACACGCCCACACCAACATCCTTGGACACGCCCACACCAACATCCTTGGACACGCCCACACCAACATCCTTGGACACGCCCACACCAACATCCTTGGACACGCCCACACCAACATCCTTGGACACGCCCACACCAACATCCTTGGACACGCCCACACCAACATCCTTGGACACGCCCACACCAACATCCTTGGACACGCCCACACCAACATCCTTGGACACGCCCACACCAACATTCTTGGACACGCCCCCGCCCCCACACCCACCACCACGCCCACAACCCCACCCTCACACCTCACCAGTCACCCTCCTCTTCTTATGATAATAAATCGCAGAAACTTTATCATTAAGAACGAAAAATAAGAGTATGTAGGAGCGGAAAGTGGCAGTGGGAGGGAGGCGGGGAGAGGGAGAGGCAGGAGGAGGGAGGAGAGAGTACGGGCGAGGAGAGAGAAAGGCAGGAAGAGGGATAGGTAAGGAAACTAGAGGACAGGAGGAATGAAGAAAATGGGAAGGAGGGAAAAAGGGAAGGATGTCTACCAAGTCCATCACAAGTTTCTTTACTTAAAACACTTGATCTCCATCATTAGCAACGCTCAGCTGACTCTTTACCCCCCCCCCACCCACCTGCCCCCAGCTCCTGGGCGTGGTACCCCGCCCCTCCCCTAGCTCCTGGGCGTGGTACCCCGCCCCTTCCCTAGCTCCTGGGCGTGGTACCCCGCCCCTCCCCTAGCTCCTGGGCGTGGTACCCCGCCCCTCCCCTAGCTCCTGGGCGTGGAGGT